GTGTCTGTGCCCAGCAGTGATCCTTCCTTACCTTGTAAGACCTTTAACATTCGCATTTGGGAAGGACCGAGAGTAAGGCTGAGGTAAATATTTAACAAGTATGCTGGGTGTGAATTTTAGTGGTATTTTAAGGACTGTCTTCCAGCCTGGCCTTTTCCCAGTATATTTAGCCTGTGGCACATCTATCTCTTTTTCTCGGCCCCTGGCACAGGGCTCAGCCACGGCCAGACGTATTAACTGTTAAGCTACATCAACATCTGTTTATCTAGCCTGGAGAGACACATAGAGGAGATGCCTCGCTGGATTTGTCAGTCAGCTCAGGCTTGCATTGAACTACAATTGATTGTCATGCAGTTGTGTGCGGTCTTGTGTAAAATGAATTATTGTGCTGTAGGTCTGTAGTCAAATAATAAAATGGACATACACTCTTAAAAATAAAGGTGCTTCACGATGCCATAGAAGAACCTTTTTGTCTAAATGGTTCCATAAAGAACCTTTAACATCTGAAGAACCTTTCTGTTTCACAAAAGGTTCTTTGTGGCAAAAGAAGGTTCTTCAGATTATAAAAAGGTAAGAAAGAGATGGTTCTTTAAAGAACCTTTGACTGAATGGTTCTTTGTGGAACCAAAAATGGTTCTTCTATGGCATCGCTTGAAGAACCTTTTGAAGCACCTTTATTTTTAAGAGTGTATATAGACATACTATAACGTTCATAACACAAAGTAGACACTCAGACCATTTACGGATACTAAGCTGCAAAAATGGGTCATTCAGATAACATCTTTGTATTGGCATTAGAAACAGGTGCACATTAATATTGACTTTGCACATTTACACGTCATTATCTATTTGGAGTTCAGCAGCATGTCCAGCTCTGTTATATGGCAGTGTGAGCCTGTAAATAGAGGTTAGTCAATCATAATAGTCATCCACATACAGTGAGTAGACATCTTAAAGAGTTCACCTTCAAGGGGACCTATTATGCTTTTTCACTTTTTAAATTTTAGTCTGTGTATGTTTGGGCATAAAAAAGATCTAGAAAGTTACAAATCTCAAAGTCCACTCCAAAGGGAGATATTTCGTTTTTTAAAAACCCCTGTTCAAGAACTACAACAAACGGCTCGTTTGGACTACAGCGTTTGTTTTCCGGGCTTTGTGATATCACAAAGCGGCCCATTAGAATATCATTAAAAATAATTCCCGCCTACAGAAATTCGAATGGTTGGGGGGTGGGGAGGTGGCGAGGTTGTGGTTAGAACGCTTGGTTGAGTGAGTGCATCAGACGAGACGACGACAAAGAAGTGCTGCTGCAGAGTTAGTGCATCAGAGAAAACGAAGAAGAAGAGCTGCTGTGCTGTAGCGTCAAATTTTCGGCATGTCTAGAACAATTCTTACAAGTACAACCCGACGTAGCTGGGCGCCACGGACAGATGCCGAACGACACCGCCGGTGTGCCTACACTCATAGAAAATAATGTATTTGAATTTTAAAAATGTGGCGCGACGCGATGCTGTGCTTCTCGTCCGGTGCGCCACCGCCTGAAAAGCTTTTTTTTTTCACCTCCATGCCCAAACGTCTTTGTTTGGGCTTCCAAAAGCAGATGATGTCAGGAAACAGTGGTTGCAATTTAGTTTTTAACTCTGTTCCTGAGCATTATAACCCCAATTTGCTATTGTGTGCTGCGCATTTTACTGAGGACAGCTTCCACAACACGAGGGAGTACAGTGCCGGATTCGCCAAAAGCTTTTGTTGAAAGACGGAGCAAGGGGCGTGGCAGTACTGAAACACCGTCTAAGCTGTTCGCCAATCACAACGCACTGGGACAGCTAGCCAATCACAACACATTTTGTTTTTCGGAAGGCGGACCTTCATCAAAGCCGGAACTAATCGAGCCGTTTGTGCCAGGATGGGGAGAAAGGTATTTTAATAACGTAAATTATGTGAAAAATAATGCGTTTTTCGAACCACCAAGCATGAGAGCATGTTCTAGTACACCCCAAAACAAAATTAAGACTTTGTAAAAGAGCATAATAGGACCCCTTTAAAATGAAAATTGCCAATTTACTCACCCTCAAGTTGTTCCAAACCTGTATAAGTTTCTTCCTTCTGTTTAACACGAAAGATGATATTATGAAGAATGTTGGCAACCCAACAGTTGCTGGTAGCCATTGACTTCTATAGTATGGAAAAATACTATGGAAGTCAATGGCTACCAGAGCAACTGTTTGGTTATTATGTTCTTCTTGTTCAGAAGGAGGAGGAAATTCATGCTGGTTTGGAAAAACTTGAACAACTATCCCTTTAAATCATAATTTATTCGTCCTCATGTCATTTCGAACCTGCTTGACTTTTTTCTTTTGTGTGGAAGATTTTGAAAAATCTTTTTTTTTTTCTGTACCATGAAAGTCAGTGGGGTCCAGTGTTGTTTGGACCTCAATATTCTGCAAGTTGTCATCTTTTGTGTTCCACAGAAGAAAAACTCATACAGCTTTGGAACAATTATATCAAATTATGACAATTTTTTTTTTTTTGTAAACTATCCCTTTAAAAGGCACAGGTGTAAGAACAACCTCTTAAATTCATCAAAATTGAGGGTCAGAGTAAAGGTGAAAAATGTAATTTTGTTTTTAGAGTGAGAAACTTTTACTAACATTTCTAAGTGGACTGAGTGGGGGGGAAAAGTGTATATTAGCAAAGAAGAATTACAACAAAAGTGAAGTTTAAGTCTGTTTACATGCTGCCGTTGTGACAATTTAGAAGCACAAACATGAGTTCTTTTCAAAAACCTAGTGAGTTTCCTACATAGACAGCATTATAGATATGGCTCCGACATGAAGGCAACATTATGGTTGTGTATCATTTTCGAAGTTTGCACCCTACATAGGTCACATTTGTCAGGCCATATACACCATAAATGCTGTCTCATTTTTGTTCGGTAACCAATATACAAATCGACTGTTATTCCTTGTGAGGCGTAAATTACATTTAAATTTGACAGTAAATCTAAAATGTACTTGTTAGTAAATTAAAATGTCTTTCACATTAGTTCTGTGTTCACTTAACCAATAATGAGTTGAAAGACTGGGGGATGTTTGTCTGACGACTCGTGGTGAAAATATTTGTGCTGAAGTGAGAAATGGTTTTGAATCTGGGCACGGACTGATTGGACTGGGGATTCATCGTCTTTCAGCACCGGACGAGCATGTTAGGATGCGAGGTGCTTCTGTGTAATTAAGAACGTGTCATAAAATGAGTTATCATTCCAGCTCTTTTTTACAGCATGTATTAAGAAGACCCACTCTCTAATCTGACAATTAATATGGTAATGAACTCCTGCCGAGCTGGAGATTATGAAGGAGATGGATGTCAGAATCTTTTGGTTACAGTACTTTTTTTTTTTTTTTTTTTTGAGGAAGATGGGTGGCAGTTAATTCTCACCACAGTGCTGAAATCAGAGTCTGATATTTCCAGGCAAACACAATTAGAAAAACATGCAAGGGCGTTTCTTCAACTATGGACACTTTTGGCACTAAACTTTTAGGGTATAAACTCATTAATTATAGTTACAGTTATTTTTCGCCCCTGAACTGTCATGGAAATGTCATTTCCATCTCAAAACAATTTTGTGGTGGTAAATCACAACATTTTTTTAGAATAGAATTAATTAAATAATATTTTAAAATGTTTAAATATTACATTTAATAATATGTTCCTACTTTGGTCACTTTGGTAAGTACACTAATTTTTAAAAAGCTATTGAGGCAACATTTTTGTGATGGAATTAATCCTACAAAAAATGGGCAGTCTGAATTGTGTACAACTGTTATAAATGCTCCATAAAATAAATATTGAAGTTACTTTTCTGAATGTTTATTTCAATCTTTATTTAGGTCAAAAACTTCAATTATTAATATTTTTTATAATGAGTTTTCTTGGTGAAAGTCTGGGTCTGGGACAAAGATTAAATCTTTACATAGAAGTCATCTGAAAAACAGCAAAAATAGAGCCATGGTAGAAGTTCCCAAAACCATTTAATAATATGACCTTCATGTAACAAAAACTTGGGGAAAAAATGCCTATAGTGGAAGATACACCCAGTAATGTGTTTCTTACCTTGCAGATGGGTATTGGTGCACCAGTGTTAAAGAGATATTTGCACACATTTGAATAAAGTACACGCTGTTCTCTTTCTCTGGTGGATTAAGACATTCGTGTTTAACTGCTTGGGGACAAAAATGCACTCTTTGAGCGAATAACGTCTCGTCATCTCCCACGGCTCACTTCAAAGTTAAAAGTGGTCGAAGCGCTGGTGTGTCAGCAGATGCAATCCTCATGCATAATGCAGGTCCCCTTTTCCATACTCGGAGGAAATACAGCACTTCCCAGTGCTCTCAGATACTTTTTGTGTCATCATGTGTTTGCAGGAACCATCACTTACACCCCCGTCTACAATAAGCACAGGGTTGTCATCAGGGGGACAACTGGAAACATTGTCCTAGACCCTGTTACAAAAGAAGCCCACTATGGTGTTGCCTTACTCATTAGGCCCTTAAAATGTTGTCCCGGGTTCAGAAATTTAACCAGTGACCCTAGAATTGCTGTTGACTTATTTAAATCACGAGTTGTCAGTTTCTTGTATAATTATTATACATGCAGTTTCTATGACTTTCATATTAATTGAGAGACTACACAGTACTACAGTATTATTTTATATCTAATATTAGCATTTTATAAATAAATTGCAATTATTTTTTTATTATATTTATATAATATATATATATTTTTTTAATTATATTAATTTTTTAAATATTAATATATATTTTCCCTCATGCATATGGATATCACCTGTCTATTTGTTTTTCTTCTAATGATTTTATTTTTCTATTTATTCTCTTATTGATTTCACGTTTTTTTTCATATACATTTTTTTTTTCTAATAACGCTCAGACACACTGACTCCAAACTACAGAGGTTTTCACTGAATGTCTTTGTTTTAATAGGTACTCCATCTCCCCTTACTCTGTCTTGGAGCGATGTGGCATCAAGCACCCAAAGCCCTCACCGTTTTTTGGGAACCTCATGATGTTTCGAGACGTAAGACCTCTTGTTTACTTCATAATGAAACGCAAGACACATTCACTCACTTTCTCACACGTACACACACCTTGTACCGCCCTCCCAAATCTAGAAAAATGATATTTCTCTCAGTGAGCCTCACTTCATTAGATGCGTTCATTAAAGATGACTCACTGCTAATGACATCTAATGCCATGTGATTCCCAAACAGATTAGCCTCTGTGCTGAATGATGTAGTTTTATGACGATAATATAAAAGATGGATGGGGAGAGTGGGTGGGTTTAATATTGCAAAATTATTACTTCTAATTCCTTCTGTGTTTTTTTCAAGTTTAATCTCAGTCCCAAACTCTAATAGAGCAAATCAACAGCTACCTTGAGTACTCTCATTTCTGCCTGTCTAATGATAATGATTTGAAGTGGATTATAGGAAATAAAGGCCAAAATTGCAATGCTGTAGGGCTGATTGATTCCAATGAGAGTTTTAAATGGACCTTCATTTGTGAATGTGAAATGCCTAGATTCATCCAGCAACCAATAAGGACGAATGTCATAAAAAAGGACATGTCCAGCTTATATTTCACCCAACAGTAAAAATCAAAAGAACAAAAAAAATTTGACTTAATTTTGGACCATTAAAATGTATTTTCATTACAGTTAAGATCAAGGTGGACATATCAATGAAGAATACAACGTTCTGAAAATCATGTTAATTTTTTAGTAAACGTTTTGCTCTTTTTTTAACTGTAAAAAAAATCTGTAAAAACTGCACAAAGTACTGTATTAATTTGAAGACATTTTCAGAATTTATTTTTTACTGGTGTTTTACCCATATAAAGCTTTGATTCCAACTCTTGTGCTGTTCTGGTGCTGAATAGATTCTCAGATCAATATGTTACTGTCAGACAGCGATGGTTGACTGGACAGCATGTCGTTCACAACACTCTTTTCATTCCGTCTTTCTATCATCCGCTTATGACAGTGCTCCCTCTTCCTTCTCTCCCTCTCGGTCTGCCTGTCTGTATCCCCTTATACTTCTTTTTCATCTCAATTCATGTCTTCCTCGTTGTGATTAAATGTTATTAGATGGAAGTGAGAGAGGCGTAAATGAATATGCATGCATGCATAATTACTGTGTGTCTTGAAGTTCCCCAGGTGAACTAAAGGTATGTGCTTTTTTTGTAGTGTGGGGGGTTTTGTATGCTGTTGTGCAGCCTTTGTCTAAGCATATTAGTGTTTGTGTAGATTTGGCACACGTCAGCAGACTCAGTCTCACAAACAATGGTCTCCAGAGCATTGCTCCTGCAGAATCCTCTGACCCACTTCCACAGGCCAGCCTCTCAGCTAAATCCTGTACGTCTCTGTGTGCAACTATATGCACATTTTGTGTTACTGGCACTAGAGATGCAGACGCAATCCCCTCTCAAGGGGCAGGTGACTGCATTTCAGGTTAGAAATTCAGTGAGAATGCAAAAGAGGAAAGGGAGATGCTGAAAGAGAGAAAGGAGAAGGAAAGTAAGGCATAGGCTACGTTGGCAAAGTCGGTGTTTGGGATTGATGACTGTTTTTAGATGAACGGAGTGAATTGGAGTGATTTGAAGGAAAACAGAAGAGAGAAGCCAGGGTGTAAGGGAGGATCATGGGTAACAGGAAGTGATGTTGAAAGAGCGTTTGGGATACAGGGGCAGATTGAGTCACATTTAGAGACTAGACGACAGAGTCTCTCGCAACCCACAGCAGCACATTATCATGACACACTCCATTACCAAATACAACACTCACAGACGTGAGATGTGGTCCATTTAAGATCCTAAACAACCTAGATGCAGTTTCTCTCTCTCTTTCTCTCTGTTGCCAGCACACATGCACAGACTTGCTCTCTGTTTATCCATAGGGGACTTATCTGGAAAACAGGATTTGTCATGGTAGTTTAAAATAAAAAGAGCTACAGTATGTAGACTGACTTTAACATTAACAAAGCTGCCTGCCCAGTGTGTCAAGACTATTTACTGAATCTAAGGTACAAAAACAGGTCATTCTCAAAGGTTATAAACATTAACAGAAGACCACCCATGTTAACTCTGCCATTCAGGTGTTTGGGTTCAGTTTCTGTTTTAATATGTTTTAAATTATAATTTATTCCTGTGATAGCAAAGCTGAATTTTTAGCAGCCATTACTCTAGTTTTCAGTGCCACGTGATCCTTCAGAAATCATTCTAATTTGTGGAAACCATAATACATTTTTTTCAGGATTTTTTAATGAATAGAAACGTTTATTTGAAGTAGAAATCTTTTGTAACATTACAAATGTTTTTACTGCCTTTTAATTAAATCAATGCATCCCTTCTGAATAAAAGCATTAATGTCTTTTTCTTTCTTCCAAAAATAAAAATAAAAATTGTACTGACCCCAAACTTTTAAGCTGTAGTACACATCAACACTTATTCAATATTTAGCAAGTTGGCCATATGCACAAACGTTATCCAATCATAACAGATGTCATTTGCATAGTGTATAGAAGTCTTATATGAAAGCAAAAACAGGGTCAGAGAGAACCAAAATGCTCATTAAAAACTAAATGTTATCTGATGCATTTCATAAACAAAACTAGTAAGAATTGCAACTGATATGTTGCATTAAGTTCCTTTGGGGAAGAAATAATGACTTGAATTTGACAAAGTTTGCAAGGTTCATGCCACTGAATCTTTGAAAGAGTAGCACTTAGTAGCTAGATACTTGAGCAGAATTATATATTTTGCTTTGTTTTCGGAGTAATATCTCTAAATAAATTACTATTACTTTTGGACAGACAGAATACGTGATCTCAAAGTCTACATAAATTAATGTCATTTGTAGAGACTACCGATTTTTTTTTTTTCAGCATCAGTCCTAATGGAATTTTTTAATTTGTACATAAAACAAAAAAGAAAATGCCATTTCAAATACAATGTGCTACTTGCGGTTTTTTTTAACATTTGTTTCCAAACCATTTTTTTTCAGTGTATTTCAGAATTGCCCACATGTAAATATGCAAAACAAAGGAAGGTATTTTGAAAGTCCCCATTGACTTTCATTGTATGACCCATAAAATATAGAATAGAATAGAATATTTCCCTTTAATTGTCTTTTTTTCACTGGTCTATCCTTAAAAGTGCCTATCCCATACCTTCCTCCACATCCTCTCAGTCACACACTGAACGTCTGCTTGCATGATTCTGAGTGACATGACAGATTATTAACGGCCGAGACAAAGAGAAGCAGCACAGTGTTCAGATCTGCGCAGAGGTCAAGGTCATGTATGTGCTAGAAAACAACTAAAAGTGGCTAATCTTTTTAAGAGAATTCCAATAGGATCGCTGACTGTCCACTTCAGTCAGACCCGGCGTTATTGATCGTATCCATCCGAGGTGAATCCCCAATGAAGCCAAAGGCAGAAGCAACTCATTTGTTTGAATTGAGCCTCCTGTTAAACTTCACTACAGCATAGATGCACGCGCAGCCTCTTCCGTGTGACAGAACAGTAATAAAAGGCTGAAGGAGAAGACATCAGGATGGAAGGGCACACACTCCACTGCTTAAAGCTCACTGAGGAACACACGCACACACATACAGTACACCAGGGAGACTGCAGGAATGGTGGGATGAAGAAGGGAGGGCAGGCGGTTTGATGACAGCACTGTCGACTCCTTCGTTAGTACAGACAGCAGAGCCACTGGCTGCCATGCATACCAAACTAGCACTCTTTATGTGCTTTTTATATGCGTGTGTGTGTGCGCGTTTTACAGTCAGCACTTGATGTTCATTGTTTGCTTTGTTGTGTAACTTCTTAACTATATCCCACCAGCCTCTATAAACAATGCAATCTCAGCAGCCTTATGTGCAAAGTTTAATATGTTATTCGATTCTAAATAGGGATATGATACTATTCCTGTTATTGTGTTATGGTTATGGATATTTCAGGATAATATTCTCAGTAGACCTCGATAAACCTTCAGAGAGCCCATAAACCTCGAGAGAGCCAAGCGCAGTCAGTGTTTTTGCTCTGGACTGACCCCTACTGGTAGATAAGTGCAGTCACTCAGCGATGCCGTACCTGTAATAGCCTCCATTCACATAGTAAGCGCCTCTTTAGGAGTCATATAGACAGATCTATATTGTTCAGGGCTGTCTTATTCTTTTTAGACAGACAGTCGGTGGTGTCCAAGAAAAGATCGAGCTGAAATAAATAATTGCTTTAAACTACATGGCAAAGCTGTGCAAATGTTCGTGAATGTGCTAATCTTGGAGAAAGTGCCCACCCACTGAGAACAAAAGGATGCAAGTTCATCAAATCAGATATCTCTTATTCAGATTTTTTGAATGTTTTATTCCACAATATTAAAAAAAAACAAACAATTAAACTGCGGCAGAAAAATAAGCTGCCTGTAATGGTAACAAAATAATAATATTCAGCATAAATTATTAAACTACACCCAATGCCACAGGTGTATAAAATCAAGCACCTAGCCATGCAGTATGCATTTACAAACATTTGTGGAAAAAATGTTTGTGGTCAAGACTTCAGTGAATGGTACTATGATAGGAAAGAAACCACTCAGTTCGTGTTATTTCATCCCTGCTAAATATTTCACAGTCAACTGTAAGTGGTATTATTGAAAAGTGGAAGTGTTTAGGAACAGTAGCCATAAAGCAGAAGACCATGCAAAGTCATGGAGCGGGGTCACTGAGAGCTGAGGTGCATGGTGCATAAAAGAGGGATAAATTGAAGGGAAACCTTAATGTGTCAGCATGGCATTTTGGACAATGCTATGCTTTCAATATTGTGGTAAAAGTTTAGGGAAGGTCCTTCTCTGCTGCAGCCCGACTGTGCCCCAGTGTACAAAGCAGGGTCCATAAAGACATGGTTGGATGAGTTTGGTGTGAAAGAACTTGACTGGCTCGAACAAAGCCTGATCATAACACCATCGAACACCTTTGGGATGAATGGAGATTGCCAGCCAGGCCTTCTCATCCAACATCAGTGCCTGACCCCACAAATGCAAAATTCCCACAGAAATGCTTTAAAATCTCGTGGAAAGCCTTCCTAGAAGAGTAGAAGCTGTTATAGCTGCAAAGGGACCAACTTCATATTAATGTCAATGTATTTGAATGCAATGTCACTAAAGTCCCTGTTGGTGTTATGTGAGGGGTTTCCCCAATACTTTTGTCCGTATAGTGTATCTCTCTGATTTCTTTCTTACTCTCACTTGTTTAATTTTCTAAGTACTTTATTAGCATGATGCAAATATTTGCAGCAGAATATATATCACACAGAATGTGTAAAAAATGTGTTGCTAGTATTAAAATAATAATAAATAAACTAAAATGATTTCATGAAGATATTTAAGTTGATCCGTGTTGCATTTCATTGTTAAATCTGATTGTTGTAGATGATGTGAAACTTTGGCAGTCTCTAAAATAAATCTGACCACATGAGTGACTTAAATTCTGCATTGTATATTCTCGAATATGCTTTTATACTGATATGTGGGTTTTCTGCTCTTGCACAGGGTTTCTTTAAGGCACAATCTGACCTAATAAAGAAATACGGACGAATTTGTGGGTAAGTCTCCCTGGATTTTACTTTTACTGTTATTAAAGCGTCAATCAAATTAATAAATGAAATTGGATTAAATTTATATTGTTTCTTTGTCTTATAAAATCTGAGATTGATGTCTGAAAAACACTATTTTTATTATATGGGAAAGCTTTTGTCAAAGGCATTAATAAACACAAATATGCGAAACCTATTTGTTTTGCCTAGTGAAACATGAACGCCTTCTCGTTGCTGTACTAAATATTTTTTTCTGATTTATATTTTTTATGAAAAGTTCCCTACATGATTGCTTTAGTCATTTCCACATTTATAGAATTATTTTAATACGAAAGCATCTGTGTATAACACCCATCACACCGGAGCCCTTGTTCACAGTCCTGTCATTCATATTCAGACAGTATGAACCACTCACGGAGTGCCCAGTGTCCTCTAATTTGGTCAGTCGCTAGCCAGACATTGTGTTTTAATATGCCTGCTTCGGAGAGGCCGACTTCTCCTCGAGGGAGATCAAAGCAGCGAGTGCCACTGGGCTTCCTGTGTTTAATATGAGCAGAACAGAGAGGAAGAGAATCAGAATGATGCTGGTTTTGTCTGCTTGTGTGCGTGTATGTGTGTTCAATGGGATCCAGGGGTTCTGGATTGGGTGTCGGGACCGGAAAATGGGATCTAATTCAGAGTCGTGTAGATATATGTCAGGAGACATTACGACATCTTTCAGTTAGGAGTAATCCAAGAGGCTGAGCTTCTCACCGAAATCAAAGGGCTTTGAAATACATATCAGTGCTCCGCATGCTCCTTAAAACCCTTGTCGGTTCCCGAAGTACAAACCATCAGTCATCTAAGTTCAGACGTTTCAGCGCATTGCAGGAGTGCTCGATTTCAAATGTGCAGAAGGTTTGCTCACGAAGGTGTGATTTTATTTTTTGCTCCATCCAAAAATATCCTTCAGATATGGTTTGAAAATATCTTGACATTTCTTCTAACAAGAATGCATTAATGATACCCTATAGTGAAAGAGACCATATGGGCTTTTCAATGGTTGACAGCTAAAAAACACTTTGTTTGATGGCATATACGTACAGTGTAATGCAGTGATTTTCAGATGTTTTTAGGTGTGAATTATGTGTCTAAATACATAATTACTTAGTATCATTATATTAATGATCTTTAATATATTTCTCAAAAATATAGTATGATATTAAAACTTATGATGCGTGTATGTGTGTTCAATGGGATCCAGGGGTTCTGGATTGGGTGTCGGGACCGGAAAATGGGATCTAATTCAGAGTCGTGTAGATATATGTCAGGAGACATTACGACATCTTTCAGTTAGGAGTAATCCAAGAGGCTGAGCTTCTCACCGAAATCAAAGGGCTTTGAAATACATATCAGTGCTCCGCATGCTCCTTAAAACCCTTGTCGGTTCCCGAAGTACAAACCATCAGTCATCTAAGTTCAGACGTTTCAGCGCATTGCAGGAGTGCTCGATTTCAAATGTGCAGAAGGTTTGCTCACGAAGGTGTGATTTTATTTTTTGCTCCATCCAAAAATATCCTTCAGATATGGTTTGAAAATATCTTGAAATTTCTTCTAACAAGAATGCATTAATGATACCCTATAGTGAAAGAGACCATATGGGCTTTTCAATGATTGACAGCTAAAGAACACTTTGTTTGATGGCATATACGTACAGTGTAATGCAGTGATTTTCAGATGTTTTTAGGTGTGAATTATGTGTCTAAATACATAATTACTTAGTATCATTATATTAATGATCTTTAATATATTTCTCAAAAATATTAATTATGTCATAATGTTAATGTCATAATGAGATTTCAACTTTCTCATAATGACTTCCATGCATGACTACAAAAAAAAGGAGCTACCCAGCAGACTCATCAAATTTCTCTTTACGGAGTGGACCTTGACACACACACACACACGTATGATGCGTGTCTGTACCCCTGTGTCAGTGATATGAAGGAAAGACAGTGTCTGCGGGGTCTGCAGCCACAGATGTGCTGCTTTATCCGTGTGTGAATTTGTCCTTTGTTCTTTTGACTCTTCCTATTCCCCTGAAATTTGACTGGTGCCATGTTATTTATTCGTTTCATCTTGTTTGTTTGCTCTGTGTGTGTGTGTGTGTCAGTTATTATATAGGCAGGCGGCCTATAGTGATCATAGCAGACCCAGATATGCTCAGGCAGGTGATGGTGAAGGAATTCAATAAGTTTCCCAACAGAATGGTGAGTGACATTACATTTACATTATAAAATCAAATACACACACTCAGCAATTCATCTAAAGTTGTATTATTAAGCATACTCTATTCAGCAAAAATTACTTCTTAACGAGTTTAATTAGTTGTTTTTTACTTGCTTTTCAGTAAAATATCTAAAACTCCTTAAAAAGGAGAAGCCAGATTGCATAAGATAGACTTGTTTTCATAGATTGTTTCTTGAATATAAGTCAGTGTTGTTATAAAACTGAACCTTAAATCATTTTGTTAATTGAAAAAGTAAAAAATTATATAAAGTATAAATATTAGATGAAAAACTTGAAATAAAATTCGAAAATTAATATTACTACAAAATTTTCACAAAGCACAATTTTTTTTCTCTTCACTTCTATCATTTATACACATGGTATCTAAAAAAAAAAACATTTAGTATAAAACAAACCATGAATGTGATTACGTTTACATTTGTGTTCTACAAGCTTATTCATGAATAGCTACTAAATTCTAGAAATGGCTTGGAAAATTAAAATAACTTTGCAAAATCATTCATTATCATTCACAAGACTTGTTTGCCACCATGTTTCACATCAACATAACTCGCAACTCATGCATCATCTAGAAGTCAGAGTTTCCCACTTGTAAATACGACTTTGCTTTATCATTTATGTGCTCAGAACTCATTATTACGATATTTTCGGTTCCACTTGAAGGCCGTCAATTCCTGATTGATGTCATCACATAACTCAGCAATTGTTTGTCAACAACATCATAATTTATGATTGCAGACATACACACAGCATGTCCCATAAATCATAAAATCAGCTAAATCAATGACAGGGTGGTTTTGATGTATTACTTGCACTTTTTCCTGCAGTCGATAGGAGTTACTGTATGTAGGTGTGTATTTGTGTGTCTAAATCAATGCTGAGAGTGCACGTCATGTGAATGGTAAGCTACTGGCAAAAGGCTCCAGAGCTTTGAACTCAGTCAGTCCAGGGAGGTCAAAAACTAATGATCACGTGACTTATGTATCAAAGCAGAGTCAAAGGTCATGAGTTGGCCTTGCTGCTGGAGCTGAGCCTGCTGGGTAAACGATTATAGCAGGGCCAGATCAATACTGAGGCCTTGTGCACCACTGAGGTTTATCACCTACCTCTTGACCTGTTTGTGTGCATGGAAGTGTACTTTTAAATGTACAATGTAAAGCACATCTACAACCAACAGTGGGAGAAAACTCGTAAAAGGAGATTGCCAAGGCACCAAAAAACAAACAAATAGTATGTGTTAGCAGCCGTTAGCACAAATATCTACACACGAGATCAAAGTCGGCCAAGCATAAAGCTCTGCCACCTGGCCTTGGTTGCTGTACTAACTTTCAGGCTAACAACCTATGCTTAGCCAACTCCGTGTACAGTACAACAGTAGTTTTAATGAATCCAGGACTATTATTTATGTAGAATTGCAAAGACGAAACCATGTAGAGCTTTTTAAACACTTTCCAACGGTTTAGAGTCTGAGAAAGTTCTTTACACTTTGCTGTGGTTCATCTATTAAGCCTGAAACATTCTCTACGCAAGTATGGAGATGCAGATGCGAATGCTTACAAGCAGATTGTATATTTTTGCATTACTATAGCAAAAACAAACTTTAAAATTCTGTGCCATTAAACTCTTAAGTGTAGCTATAGCTAGCTTTGTGTGTCCACAGTTAATGACTTGAAATAATAAACTTGCTAATGCGGTGTACAGGCTGCATTATGAATTTTTTCGATTTTGAAAAGCAATATCTGAAATCAAACTTGAGTAAACTTGTTTTCTTTGAAATGTTGCCAGTAATTGCTTCAAACTACGGATAGTCGTTGGTCTGAATGAGAAAACCTATAGAAAACCGCAGAAAGGTGCGAGCACAGTGACATTTTGTGGGCAAAAAAGGTCCATTGTCTGTTTTTAATAGTAATGTATCAAGCACAGCAAACACAGAAGTCGCTTTCAAAACAAGAAGCTTTTTTTTGGTCAACATGGCGAATCCGTGTGACCAAACTGAAATCTGGGAAAAGCTGAAATTTCACAATCACGCTAAATTCACAATCGCATGGATTCCAATTCAATTTATTGGATTTTGCCCGTGAAATTTTGCCAAACAATGGCACATGTGACCTCACCTAAAGTCTAATGTCTGTTATAGCACCTCCTGTGGCAATGCTGAAAATGCAATATACTTGCGTTGCCTTATGAATTGTATTCCGACACGTTTTAAAAACTCAACGACGTGTGATATCAAGGTTGCATAAGTGTAAGTGCTAACGCTTGGAAATGTTTGCACATAGTTGTGTAGTGTATGTTTTGGGCCCAACAATCACCACTGCTACTAATATCATAGTTATAGCCTACTACACGATACTGGATTCCTATTAAAATGATTGTATTTCTCCCACAAAAAGTCACCAAACAATGGTAAATGTGACCTCATCTGAAGACTAATGCTATGGCCTGCTATAGCTCCTCTTGTGGCAATGCAGTATACTTGTGTTGCATTACGAATTGCATCTTGCCTAAAAATGCTACAGATTTCATAGTTATAGCCTACTGCACAATACTAGGTAAATGACAAACATGCTTTAGATTTAGTCCTAAACTTGTCCTTATATAAACATGTCCTTTTCGGAGTGTACAAACCTCAGCTGTGTTCTCGATGCAGACTGTCAGGGGCATGACTAAACCCATGAGTGACAGTCTGATCATGCTGAAGGGCGAACAGTGGAAACGAGTGCGCAGCATCCTCACACCGACCTTCAGTGCTGCCAAGATGAAAGAGGTGAGCTCTGCTTTCTTACCTAAATGTATGCTACACAAACATTAAAGCTGTTCTAAGACGCAATTGTTCTTATGTAATCACATTTTATAGCATTGAGTTGATAAATCAAGTGCAGCTCTGGAACAAAATCTTGTACCCGTAGAGGCCTCATATTTCCATGACAGCCATTCAAATAGTTTTTAAAAAGTTGCCTAAGATCCTGGTCATAAGATGTGAAGATAAGTATGAATTCCCCAAAACTATGGAAATCAGTTCACAAAAGCACACGTACGCATGCATATTCATGGGTAGTTTGAAGTTTTCACGGCATTAGGAGTGGGATAAGCTCAAGTACACAAAAAAAACTAAAGTTTTTTTATTGGCATCTAAGATTCCATGAAGAACCTTTAACATACACTATATGGAACCTTTTCGTTGCACAAGTGTTTCTTTATAGTGGTCCTTTTAAGAAATGTTCACTAAAAGGTTCTTTGGAGAAGGGTTCTTCAGTGGCATCACTATGAAAACCTTTTGAGAACTTGAGTGTAGATGCCATAGAACAGGGTTCCTCAAATTTTGCCCTGGAGGGCCAATGCGCTGCAGAGTTTAGCTCCTACCCTGATCAAACTCACCTACCTGTGATTTGCTAATGATGCTGAAGACAATGATCAGCATGCTCAGGTGTGTTTGATTAGGGTTAGAGCTAAACACTGCAGGAAAGTGGCTCTCGTGGGCCAGATTTGAGGATCCCTGCCATAGAATAACCATTTTTGGTTCCCCAAAGAACCTTTCAGTGAACAGTTATTGAAACAACTGTTATTTTCTAAGTGTGAAGAACATTTTAATAAAAGGTTTACAGAAAAATGTTCTTGAGATTGTGTAATGGAAAGATTCCATGGATGTTCTTTATGGAACCATCAATGGCAATAAAGAAACTATGTTTTTAAGAGTGTAGTATCAACATGTTCCTGAATCCTAACTGGATGAAAGTTGAATGTTGTTCAACTCTTTGCCTGTTTTTGAAATCTGATTGGTTGATAGGATGTAGAGCCAGGTACATGTTGAAAGTGAACCCTGGAAGAAAAATGTCCTTTCGAATCTTCATCTGAGAGTCTTAACAAGCCTGTGTGTCTCCTGCTCCGTGTCACTGGAGATTTGTTGTTAATAGAGGCCATATCAGGCTGCTTTCACAATGTGTAATTTTGTTGGAGCCTGTTTGCACAATGTGTTGTCATTAACTTTGAGCATTTAGGTGGAACAGCTCAATGATACTAGACTATCAGTTCTCCCATAGTGAGAGATAGGAACCGAGAGCTAAGAGAGTTTGACATTAGTCTTTTTTTTTTTTGCACATCACATGTGAGAGAACAAAGGAGTGCGTTTCTTCCACAACAGCCCTGCACTTTACATGCACTCTTTTCAGATTAAATAAAACAGAGAAAGTCAGAAGAAAGTGAATAGGAAGGAAAGAGGTGCGGTAGTAAAGAGGAACAGACAGATGAGTGAAAGATGAGGTCGCAATCCCGAAAAAATGAGTATAGCACATCAGTCTTAGAGAGGAGAAAAACACAGCCGATTTAATTCACATGACATCATTGAGGTAAAGAAAAAGACATGAAGCCGTCTGCTGAAAATGTATGATTGGCTGTGCTAGAAAGATGTGATAGTTGTGATGGGGAGGTCTTGGATGACAGTAGTTAATTGCTGTTTGGCCTCTTGCTAACATGTTTGAAGTGCCAGTCATCATATCTTACATCATAGAACAGGATCGATTCTCCATCGTTCTCTGCGTCTCATGTGACTGCTTATTCATTTACTAGCAGAATGATTGAATGGGATTAATAAATCACAGATTAAATAAATCCTGGTTTAAATTATCAATGTTGATTTCTCCGCTGAAAACATCTTGTGGTCTGGGGTGTGAGCTATGTTTTGGAAACTGACCCTGTGAGTTTGTGTCTTCTTTTAGCCTTGCCAAGAAATGCAGATGATTTCATCTCCTAATAATAATTTAAAAAAAAAAGAATAAACCTTTGGGATATGTGTATAGTTCTGGCCAAAAATACGGGGTTTTTTTCTGCAATGTAATGCAAAACTTTCTTTTGGTATCCACATGAGTTTTTCTTTCAAAATTACACATGCATATGCATTTAAATAAAATTATATTGTAAAATATTATTACAATTTAAAATAAGTTTTCAATTTGAATGCATTTTAAATGTAATTTATTCCTGTGACGGCAAAGTTTAATGGTCCTTCAGAAATCATTCAATGCATCCTGGCCGAATAAAAGTATTAATTTCTTTAAAATAAATAAATAAAATGTGTGACCATAATTTTATTTATCATAAGTTTATTTAAAAAATATTTGTATTACTATATTTGCATGTTATTTTTATTTATATTATATTTTCCCCCAGTAGTGTATTTAGTAACTGCTCTGATGGATTCAAGATGTTAATTCAGTGAATTCATTTAAGACCAACTATTTCAGTCCACAAAAAAAATCCTAACCTGTGGTGATTTTAAATGATTCATTCATTAGAAGAACCGACTCAAAACAGTCATTTGTTTGGGAATTGGACTAGACTGTTTGTCTGCATGCCAAAATTTGGAGACACTTATTTTCTTATTTGACTCTTTTACACAGAATATTCTAATTCTAAATGGATGTATGGGAATAAATTAGTGACCAAAAACTGCATGAGGCATCATAATTATTAAATATTTTATGTGTTCGGTCTACAAATAAAACTTGTAAATTTAAACATATGCCTTAGATCAACAGATTTTGAGAAACCAATTCAGTCAAGTGTGTCTAAGCTTTTGACTGGCTGTGTGTGTGTGGTTACCAAATTGTTATTTTTTAAAAACAATCTTGCATTATAGAATGTTGCACACATACTGCATGATTTGCAGCTAAAGTGCTGATATATTTAGCCCCAACTGTATGTATATGTCTACCTATGAACCAGTATCCATTAATGATGTCATTTCCCTTCTCCGGCTGAAATGGTAAACATGTCCGTCAGGAATGTCAGAGGTGTGTGCTGCTGTGAGAGAAGAAGCCATGATTGTTCTCCATGTCTCACTTGCTCTCACACACACAGATACCCATAACAGTGGAGTGTCATTCACCCAAGCTATATTCGGCATGGTGTGACATCATTCAGGAGAAATCCGCACACATCACTCTCCATCCATCATCTCTGAACACATTGAGGGAGAGAAATACTGCACAGTGGCAAAGACACAAACTTCTAATGAGCTCATAAACGTCTTTACAGTCTCTAATCCAAGTCTCTAAGCTGTGTCTGAAAGCACGTCCATTAACTCAATTACAGTAAACAAAGCCATCATGTTCGCATTTTAAAACCCACAATATCGAGTTCCACTGTTAAATATTAGCTGCATTTGGCGGAGGATTTTATGTAAAATAAAATCGGGATCAAAATTCAGCTTGCCTGCATGTTTAATGTATAACTGTGTTCCAAGTTGTGAGTATGTGTGTGCAACCGTGTAGGCATGCACTTGCTGCCTGTATTGATTTTCATTAGCTGTGGTGCAGCGGTAGAAAGAGACGGTAGGCACCGCTCCTGTCGTTCTCTATCAGCCTTTCCAGTCGTCTTCATCTGCCTGCCTGCATGGAGTCAATATGCATCAACAAACACACACATGGGACGCACACACATATTCACCTTATTTATCACCAAGTAAGGCCTCACGGAGATGTAATTTGTTCCAGTAAAAAATAGATAACTTGACCACTGGTGAACACAAAATGTGCTTTTGCTTAGACTATATAGACTCAATTTAGTTATTTGTGGGACTTCTAGAAACTGAATACTTTGTAGTCTAAAATGCATCCAAAATGCTGACGTTGATGGGGAAATCAAGAACTGGAAATCATTTTTAATCGGTTTTAAGACTTGTAGTGAGCTGACTACGTAGACAGCATTTTAAGGGATCATGTGTGGTATTCGAGTTGGAAATCTTAAGATAGCATTGCATGTAACATTACAGTTCAGAAATTTGGGGGTTGGTTTTGAAAGAAGTGTTTTATGCTCACCAAGGCTGCATTTATTTAATCGAAAAAAAACAGTAATACTGTTAAATATTATTACAATTTAAAATAACTGTTTTCTGTTTTAGTCCATTTCAAAATGTTATTTATTCTGGTGATGGCAAAGCTGAGTTTTTACTCTCATTACTCTTTAGTGTCACATTGTCCTTCAGAAATCATTCTAATATGCTGATTTGCTGCTCACGAAACACTGATTACTATTATTATTATTATTATTATTATGTTGAAAACAGCTGTGCAGCGTGAAGTTTTTGTGTAAATAGTGATGTGTTTTGTTCGGTTTATTCTTTGATTAATAGAAACTTCAAAATAGCTGTACTTGTTTGAAATATAATATTTTTGTAACATGTAAAAGCCTTCACTGCCACTTCTAATCAATTTAATGCATGCTTGATAGATAAAAGTAGTAATTTTGTTAAAAATAAAACTTGCTAACCCCAAACTTGTATACTTGAATGCTAGTGTATAACTTGCAGAGAAGACAAAACCTTCACTAGCTGGTAGTCCCACTAGTCAACCACCCAATCAGCTAAAACCCCACCATTGTTACTGTATCACTTTAAGATGATTTAACTTGATTTTTTTAGCTAGCAGGGATTTAAATTTAAAGAAGGGGGGGGCATTTAGATCAGCTTTCCCAACTACATTCAACTAATTCACCTGTGCGATCTGCCCTAACTCACCAGACTAGACTAGCTGAGTTTTTACTCTCATTACTCTTTAGTGTCACATTGTCCTTCAGAAATCATTCTAATATGCTGATTTGCTGCTCACGAAACACTCATTACTAATATTATTATTATTATGTTGAAAACAGCTGTGCAGCGTGAAGTTTTTGTGTAAATAGTGATGTGTTTTGTTCGGTTTATTCTTTGATTAATAGAAACTTCAAAAGAGCTGTACTTGTTTGAAATATAATATTTTTGTAACATGTAAAAGCCTTCACTGCCACTTCTAATCAATTTAATGCATGCTTGATAGATAAAAGTAGTAATTTTGTTAAAAATAAAACTTGCTAACCCCAAACTTGTATACTTAAATGCTAGTGTATAACTTGCAGAGAAGACAAAACCTTCACTAGCTGGTAGTCCCACTAGTCAACCACCCAATCAGCTAAAACCCCACCATTGTTACTGTATCACTTTAAGATGATTTAACTTGATTTTTTTAGCTAGCAGGGATTTAAATTTAAAGAAGGGGGGGGCATTTAGATCAGCTTTCCCAACTACATTCAACTAATTCACCTGTGCGATCTGCCCTAACTCACCAGACTAGACTAGCATGAAAATGTAATAAGCAGGTTTGGCTGAGTAATTGAATGCTGAATTGATATCACTAGCTTCACTGTGCAATAAAATTGAAAGGTCTGGACAGAAAAAAACAAGCAGAACAGTCATAGCATCTTTTCTTTCTTACACTTCTGTTCCTTCCTATATGTTTCTCTCCATCCCGCTTTCCTCTTATTCAGACTAGTACTGTATCTCTTTCTCTGGCTCTCTCCCCCTGAGCAGGCAGGATCAATAGGTCTCGTAAGAGCTGCTGGCTTAGTTATCACGGCTGCAGTCATGGGTGTCAGGGAGCAAAGCCATATCCTTCAACACAGAGCATGGACAACCTCTCATCTCACTGAGATACAGAGGTGTGAAGAAGGGCAGTTCCAAGAAGCATGCATATAGAGTAGCTTCATCTGTCTCAAGCCGTGTGTGTCATTTCTGGTCCTCTGCTCATGAATGAATAGACCAAACTAAACAGGCCAAGCCGTGTAGTCGGTTCCTTTCACCCACTTACAAATAAATAAATAAAAATACAGTTTGAATAGATTTTAGGAGGTGTTATTATAAAAATGCACTCAAGATTTTAAATGCTACTGAAGATGCTGTACTGCAATGCATAATTGTTATATGCACGTAATACACAAAATTTACCATGGTATTCTTTGGAGCACCATGTAAATACCATGGAATATTAATATGGTATTTTGTTATCATAGTATATATCAAAACAACTTAAAATTATGCTTTACCTACACATGCCTGGAAGTCATAATGAATTAAATCTTAAACTATAGTCAGCATGAACTTGAAATGTATCTACTGTCAACTTTAACCCATCACTCCAAAATCAACTGTATACTTGCATTAATTTCACATTCATCAAAATCCAGTCACAATCAATGGAACCAAGTCCCTGCCCTAAAGTTTTTATATAATCCATTACACTTGAATGTACGTCACAATATGGAAGATCTGTTCATGAACATTTTAAATTAAAAAATAAAATTCATGGAATATTTTTGAGATTCTTAAAGTTTGTGCTCAACTAAAAAATATTTAATTGACGTTTTAATATCAGTTTTTTAAGAGATAAATAAATAATAAAAGTCATTTACAAACATTTGTGAGTGAATCACTCTTTTAAATCAGTAGACTGAACCAATTAAAAAATTTGTCAAAATGATTCATTAGTGAATCATTCTACATTTAAAGGGGTCATATGATGCGATTTCAAGTTTTCCTTTCTCTTTGGAGTGTTACAAGCTGATTGTGCATAGATAAGATCCCTGAAGTTGCAAAGACTAAAGCCTCAAAACCAAAGAGATATTCTTTATCAAAGTTAAGACTCTGCCACGCCCCAGGTGGGGCATAGAGGACCTACAATAATGTACAGTATTTGCAAAAAAAAATTTGTTTTTTGAACATTAATGCATGTCAACATATTCTGTTACACCAAATGCACAAAATAATGATCTTAAAAAAAGCATCATATGACCCCTTTAACAAATTCTCATTAAGTTACTCAGAAATGACTAGAAACATCACTGAAAAGTCATGAATGAAAAAGTGTGGGAATCTTGATAGGAACAGCATGGTACTTTCCACAAACGATCACGGTCTCTACTGTCAGCTTTTTTGTAAGGGGTACAGTACACTAGCAGTATTTACTCTATGGAAACCAAATAGTTCATGGTGTTTTAAACCGTTTTGTGGTTCGTTCTTAATAAATATATCAATTAATTAAATCAGTCATTTCTTGAGATGATAAAATTGAGCCTTTTTTGCCATTGGTCATGCTCTCTGGAATCAAAAGCCATTAATGGACTTGCCTTGTGGCCGTTTCCCATGTGCTTTTCAGGACGGATGTGGGAAAAGGAATTATACCATCAACAGAGCCTACATCTTTATATGCACAAGCCATTTTCATTATTTGTTTTGTTTTTTTTTTGGTTCTTTAGAAGGACACATTAGACTGCATTTATTCCTCGTTATCGGCTCGGCAGCAATTTGCCGTAATCTAACTCCTTTGCATTGGTTTGTGGTGTTTACTGATTCTGATATCTGTGCGGGCACAATACTCGCTTTGCAGATGGTTCTCCTCATCAACATGGCCACAGAGACGTTAGTGAGAAACCTGAAGAGCCACGCTGAGTCCGGCAACAGCTTTAACATTCACAAGTACGAGTTTCTTTCAACATGTGTATGCACATCTGTTTCTTTGACTATTTCAGAGCTTTTAATAATATAATACACGTTTGTTTTGCAGGTGCTTCGGCTGCTTCACGATGGACGTAATTGCCAGTGTGGCGTTTGGCACGCAGGTGGACTCTCAGAACAATCCGGATGATCCTTTTGTGAACCACGCCTCCAAGTTCTTCGCTTTCACCTTCTTCAAACCCATCATGATATTCTTCAGTACGTTAAACCAGTGCAGGCAGCATTCATTGTGGTCTCATTATTGTAGACAGGATATCACAGCTTGGAAAGTGCTTCCGACAGATGATAAAATGAAACTCTTTTTCATTATGCTGATATTTCGATTAGCATATTTATTATACAAGAGGAAAAAGTACAGTTTTCTGACTGTCGTTTTTTCTGCAGTGGCTTTTCCATTTCTGCTTAAGCCTCTTGCTGGTCTCCTTCCCAATAAATCAAGAGATGAGATGAACAGCTTTTTTATCAAATGTATTCAGAAGATGATTAAACAGAGAGATGATCTTCCCCCAGAACAGGTATGGCCGTGAACAATGAAATGATTTAATCATTCCTCAGTATCAACCAGATAAACATGTTTGTGATCTGCTTGTCTACAGCGGAGGCGAGACTTTCTGCAGCTGATGCTGGACGTCCGGGCCAGCAACAAGTATTTGTCTTTGGAGCACTTTGATGTGGTCAATGACGCAGATGAACAGGCTTGCACCGAACAGGGGATGGACAACGGACAGGAAAATGGACCTGGAAACGAGTCCACCAAGCGGTCCCAGCAGAAGAGAATGATGACCGAGGATGAGATTGTCGGTCAGTCCTTCATCTTCCTTTTGGCTGGCTATGAGACGAGCAGCAACACACTAGCGTTCACATGCTACCTGTTAGCACTCCATCCAGAGTGCCAGAAAAAACTCCAAGAGGAAGTGGATGAATTCTTCAGCAGACACGTGAGTCAGGATTTAAATGCCTGTTGCACTTGGAAACCAACATTTATTTCATTCTTATTTTGAGAATGCTTCTTTATTTCATGTTATGCACAAATAATTTATGGAATAAGTGACATTCTCTGCAATTTTTGTCCTATTAGTTCTGCTGTGGGTACCCATAAATGCCGTTATGATTCAGAAAATGCTTTTTTGAAATATTTTGTCTTTGTCCTCCATCTCTGTGTGAAGCATTCTCTGCTTTTTAGTGGGTTGCTTTGTTTCTTCTCATTAGTTTTGAAGGTCTGCATGAGCCAGCCCGGTGCATTTCTCAGAAACCATTTACTATCAGTACTGTTGATTACATTTACAAGGACGGAAACAAATGTTTTATGGGTGAGCTGTATCTCAGCGTGCATAATGGGTAGGATATACCATAGAGCAGTGGTTTTCACTATAAAGTGCTGGGGATCCTTAAAGTTCAGAGAAAATGTACAAACAATTCAATGTTAAAATTTAATTAATTGATTTTTATAGGTTTATACATCTAACAATACCCTTAATGATAGGTAGAAAAAGTGAATATTGTGTCAGCGTAATAGAAATTTAATATTTTCAATATATATTTTCCATATAAATGTAATTTACCTACCAAAGATGTAAACCTAGGGAATGCCAGTGAAAACTAATATTACAGCTCTCCTCAACGAGCCAAAAAGCAAGATAATATTTAGGGTTTGGGGTTTGTTGAAATCCCTAACACTAGCTATAGTGGTACTTGGTTTAGCAAAGACTACTAATAAAGAGAAAGACAGCCAGACGGGTTCCATTTAAACAATTCAGAAAAGCTGCAGCACTGTGATGGTTATAAGAGGCTTGTATAAGCGCTCCGTTTACAATATATCTGCTTGGATAATTTACTCTCCTTTATAAATATAGTGGCGGTTTGCAGTGATGATGGTGGTTCTGCTGATTTGATGTCTTATGTTTGTGCATAATGTGCATACTCGTGAGAGAGACAGAGAGGAATTCTTGATTGATTCTCTGAAACGGTGTAATCTGTGCCGCAAAGCGCTGGAGAGGTGGGATGGTGATGAGGAGGAGGGTCAGATGTTGGAAGAAGAGCCTCTAAATCAGCATACGTTATTAGGGGATGATTCTGGCTCTCTCACATTACTTTTTCATGTTTGTTCCCCCTTATCTCAAGGGATCGCTCTTCCCTACAGCCTGAGCTTCTACAGGTCTCAAACAAAACACTTTGCAAGATTCTATGTAATACGGTTTTAATCAAATCCGTGAAAATAAAGAGTATATTAAATGTGTGTGCGTGAAAGAAACTGCTTGACAGGAGAATAAAGGTGTGAAGAGAATACACTCAATATTTAGTGGTGTTTGCCAAGACTTATTATTGCTTATACTTGGGGTTTTAGGAATTTAAACGCACCGCTAACCTTAAGTAGTAAACTTCAGTCCATTTTCAACTAAAAAGGAAAACGTATGCCTTTTGGCCATTCATTTACATGACAATGGCGTTATGGGGACCTAAAAATGTAAACGTGTTTTAGAGTTTTTGTAAACGATACCTTTGTCATCTCCGTGTAAACTACTAAAACGCAAATTTGTGAAAACCGTGATGTCATGCGCATGCATGTTATGTGTTCAGATTATAGGTGTGTTTGCAGGTTCATAGTGTTTCTTAAAGGGGCGGTTCACTTTTTTTTCTAGGCTTGATTGTGTTTATTAGGTGCAGTCTAACATGTGTTAATGCTTCGTAGGCCTATGTTTTTTGTTTGTTGTTGTCATCTCATACTTGTAGGTATGCTCTTATTTGTAAATGCTACTGCTTAGGTTAGCTTTTAATATACGGTTCTATCCTGATTAAAGCTTTAATACAGTACGGTAAATACACCATGTATAACGCTTCTCATAGCTATGTGAAAATAAGTGTATAAATGGAACGGAGCCGAGCTGATGATCTGAATGAGAAAGAGAGATGCCGAGCAGGCGACGTGAGGAACCGTATTAAAAACCACTGCTTTAGAACATTGATTTTGAAACTTGTGAATCCATTAGAATCGTTAGAAGACAGAATCGCGATTCATATACGAATAGATTTTTACGTGCACACCTAGTTTTCTCTTCCTCTTCTCTAAAGCAGCGCAGCATGGCCTCGCCCCCTTTGCTGCCTTTTCCCAAGGGCGGGGTATATCTGGGTTTGTGATGTCGCGAACCCGGGAAGTAACTTGTTGTAGTCCCTACCAGCCGTTTTTGTAGGCATTAAACTGCCAGAATTTTAAAAGACGATATCTCCGTTTGCGTTGAACTTTCAGCTTAGTAACTTTGCAGATATTGTTTATGCTCAAACAGCAACATTACACACCAACTAACGTTAAAATAAAAATAATTCGCAATCAACCACCCCTTTAACAAAGGGACATCACCAACTACTGGCCTGGCATGCACAATACAGTACACAATACAGGATCCGTGTGAAGGATCGCTCGACAACGTTGCCATATGTACGTGAAACTTTTCAAAGATGCAAAAATTTTTTTTTTTTTAAATCAGGTTTTAATACATTGTTGTCATGTAAATAAAAACACTATTAACACCTTAGCAATCACACAGCAACCGTCCACAACATGCTAGCCAGTGTTAATTTTTACAGATTTTTGTTTTAGTCTAAGCTTTTGATAGGAATAGATTTTAAAATGTAGTCAATATTTAAAAAGGAACATTACTAAAATTAACTTTTTAATTTTACTTTAAAATTTTTAATAAATTTTTTTTTTGTCCGTTTTTGTCAATAATTTAACGCTGATGCTAGCATTGTGTGCCGACAACCAGCATTCAGCATTTCTTCAGCATTCTACAGAAAACACAGAAATCTAGTTTGATTTTGGCATCCGTCATATCCGCCAGCCACAGAGTTTCTTATTTCATGATGCATTTTCAGAGCTTGCATGTCTTTGCTTTCTCTCTGATGGCGTACATTCAAACAGCGTCTTTGTGAACCTGCATCTCTTGAATCCTGATACCTGCAGCCAGGGCCTGGCAGACGCCCACTGGAGAAAGGGATCAAACGCGGCATTAGATCAGCTCTGTGTCCTTCGGTCTACTCTTTCATCTCATTTATTCATTCTTCATCGGTCTCCCCCCTCTGCTTCTCTTTCAATTTAAGCACTCCCTTTCCAACTTCCAATTACTTCTCTCTGGAAGTCCGGGTCTTTTTCAGAGTGGATGAATGTTCTGCGGAGCTTTTAGTGCGATCGTTCATCTTAAGTTCTGTAGATTGCGTACAGACATGCGTGCCAGCATATTATGTTAAAGTCAAATGTATCCTTGGAAAATAGAAAAAAATATATAAGGGTGTTTTCTTTATTTTAACATAGACCTAAGCTATTAGTCTAAAAAATGTGGTCTGAGGGATTTCTCACAATAATGCATAATTTATTTGATGGTTTTCTTATGCAACGCATCTGGCAAAGAGCACATCACGCCAACTCATCATACTTTACTTTTTGAGGTTAGCTGACAGGATTCCCGGGATGAAAAATAAACCGGAGAGCTGTTTATAAACCCACTCGCCATGAAGTTTTCAAATAAAAGAGCTTATGACAGAAGTTGTGAGCAACTACAAGCAGTGAGCATTACAAGCAGCACAACAAAACTCAAGCTCAGCCTTGGCCTTGTCTCATGGCGACTTAAGTCGACTGTATAGCCTGCAATAACGTAATACTCTCTTTATATCGAGCAGCTGGGGATCCATCCACAAAGACATCTGGACCGGTGTACTATATACTGAAGGTCAGTCTCATCTAGCCCACTGCTATAATGTCTATCTGCTGTTCAGCCTAGAGAGAAAGTGTCTTCGGCTCCTCCTTCAGAGTGGTTTTATTCCCTAAACGCCCCTCACCGTGTGCGTGCCGCTCTCAGTTTCTCTCTAAAAAGCTTCTCAAATGTCACTCTCCTCACACGCCCTGCGTGAGGGCGCTCAAAAGTGTTTTGTGCTAAAACGCACTAGAGTGTAACCACTTCAGTGTAACGCCGAAGGTTTTTACCTGCCGCAGACTGTTTCTGGTGGGAAATCATATTTAACCAATATAAAAGTAATTTAAAGCTCATTTAAGATGCAAAAGGTGCTTAAAAGGATAGTTCAGCTAAAAATGATCCTTTACGGACCTTAAATCACATTCTAAATCGGTGTGTGTTTTCTCCTGCAGAAATGAAAAATGTTCTCGGTTCTATATGATCTTAAAAATAAAGTTATTCTATGGCATTGCTGTGAAAACCCCCTTTTGGAACCTTTATTTTTAAAGAGTGTGGCTATCAAATATTATTTGTATGCATGTTCAGACAAGAACAGTCACACCAGATTTGATATCTCAAACAATTATCATGTGACGTATTTGACTGTACTGAAGTGCAAATGCGATTTGAAAGTTAGGTCAAGTGAATCTATTGTATGGTTGTCAATACCTAGAATATAGTGCACACGTCGTATTGAGTGTATTCACTGTTAGTTTATGCCGTTTTTCATTCTTTTTGAATAATTACAGCATGTTCACTGAAAAAGAGTGAACTTTTTTTTTGTTCTACTTCAAGTCATACAGGTTTGGAGCAACATGAGGGTGAGTAAATGACAGAAACTTTAATTTTTGTGAACTATCCCTTTAACAATCCATTGAGGTGACGGTGATAAATTACCAGTTCTCACTTACACACCCACGACTTTAACAATGTGTCAAGGGTGAATTCTGGAATTACTGTCATCGATTTGCCAGTTTGATTTTCACCACTGGGACAGTTTAAGTGGCAAACATGTAAATGCTTCGCTTGACTGACTTGGTGAACATGTCACAGGCTGCACACATTCTGTCTGCCGTTCTAGCCTTTCATTTCCCCTTCCCAGGCTGTGTGGTGCCTCTCCGGGGGCCCATCATTAATTTGCCTTTTTTATCTGCATAAATAACAGAGAACTGAAGCGGAGCACTACCTAATGAGTCATCCAGAGGTGGGAGACG